AATCGGCAACTCAACTGGGCTACAAGTAGCCCAATCTGGCATCCCGGACTAGGAGCATGCAAAGAAAACGAGCAGTGCCAAGACAGAGCACGGAGAGAAGATACAATAACAATAGAACGAGACAGGACCAAAAATCCAGAATAAGCACAAAAGAGGACCAACAAGCCTTAGAAAGGACCGGAGGGAAGCCACACCGAAAGACGACAGACGTTCCAATAATATGGGAAGTAGCAAAAACCTTCCCGAACCTTCGAGAATACACAGAAGCAAGCACAAGTCACGATGGCACAAAGGCACAGTCGCGCCCAAGACCAAAAGTCATGCAGAACCCCAAGAAGAAGGGAACATGATGGAAAAGTCCCATCTCAAGAAAAAGGGGGAATAACGGAGAAGAAGAGAAGAGCACCCACCGACAGGACGGAACCAACCAACTCAAGGGACAAGGAACCGAGCCCGGAGAGGGGCTGACGCCCAACAACTCTTACGGAGAGGTGAGGAAAAACCCCACTCCCCGTAACCGCAAGCCCCGCCTAGAGGGTAGAAAACCCCCCCTCGGGGTCTAATGGGGGCCTTAGGGCCCCCCAAGTCAACCCCTCCCCAGCCCAGGGAACGCACTCGGCAGGCCCCGGGGCCGAGCCGTCCCCTGCAAAGCCCCGGCCTCACAAGAAATAACCGGGGCAGCCGTGAAAATACTAAGGAAGGGAGCCCACTGGCAGACTCGTACAACACGGCTGAAGGAACAGGCTCGAATGCGCCCGTCGCTCCCCGGAAGAGGAATTCCCCGAGATCGTCCGAGTCTCAAAACCAACGAATCCCCGCCCCGACCCCGAACCCACAGACGGTAAGGATCCAGAAGCAGGTAGGAAGGGAAGACCAGACTAGACAACAACAGGGGGAAAGACAAGGGAGCGTGGAAGGAACCGAAACAACCAACGCCCCCAAAACCCAACACCAACCAAAATGGGGCAGCCTCAGGGCTTCCGGGGAGCAAACAACTGAGGGCATTGCCACCATCGAAGCTCAACGTGCAACGCCTGTGCTGCCTGCACCTGCATAGTCAGCATAAGACTGGGTAACCGAGTCACAACAAGCAACAAAACTCGCAGGACTCCGGGCCGAAGGTGTCACCGACCCCACAGGCAGCAGACGGAGGCAAAGACAGAGAGAGAGTCACCCGGAGACAAGGGAACAAAGCAACCCTCAAACTCGCTGGAAGCAAGGAGGGGATCCAGGGTCACATCCATCGGACCTGAGCGCCCCCAGGGGTTTCCCAGGGTCCTGATCGTTTACTATAATAGGACTCACGTTCAGGTAATCCCAAGCAGGGTACTGCTAATAGGCACCCAAGTCTACCAAACAACCTTCTAAGAACTGAACCCTCGGGACGTGTACACACACGTCCCACGGGGACCTAGCAGGGGGAACCACCGGAGGAAGGAAGAATACTCAGTACACAGGGGACACAGGGGGGCAAGAACGAAGGCAAACCCCCCACCAGGTAGACAAACAAAAAGAAAAAAGAAAACCCCTGCAAGAGGACAGTGTACCCAGGCGGAACAGAGTCGGCTGCCATGATTGGTGAAAACAAGCTGCGCAGTACCCTGCACCCCACCAGTGCAAACTGCCCCTTACCCTAAGGCGAACAAGGAAGACAGAACACCAGAGCGCACAAAGGGCGGGTGAAAACCAAGCAATAAATAGCCTAGCAAGGGCAGAACCCAAGGAACTTGTGGAAGGTGGCCCCAAGCCCCAAGGGCAGTACTTACAGGGCACCTAGGGAAGGAAACCCATCTAGCACATGCAGCCAGAGTATTGGAGAATCACCCCTGGCTCACACACCACCTAGAAGACAGGCACCACACTCTAGGTACAGTACTGAAACAACCACCAGAGCCAAAGCACACGACCTCAGCCTCTAGTACCAGCTGAAGAACTGGGGTGTGGATAGCCGGCGTGGGGGGTCTGGGGCTCCCCCTTTCCCCTCCCGGGGAGGGGGGAGCTGCACAGACAACGACGCAGCGACGTGTGACATCATACTAGTTTGCTCATTTTTGTTTGGGGAGTTCTATCCACTAGTTCGGCTTTTGGTAGCAATTTTAACCAGAATAGGGGTTTGTTTTGGGATGCTTACCTTTCTGGGTGCCTGACCTGGTCGATGGCAGACACAGAATGCTTCCAATTACACGGGGGTTTCCATAGGCCATTGCTTCCCTTGTCTCTGAGGGGGGGGCCAGGTTCTGCCTCGTGGTCCCCGGCAGGCCCATAGAACTCCATACACATGACTTATGCCAAAGTCTGACATTAGCATATCAGCCTGTATAAGCTCTGGGGAGCCAATGGGGCTTCCCCCAGAAAAATGTGTTGCAGCATTTAGCAACTTGAAAATATCTTGGAGGCATAAATCACGTTCAAAGGAGGCTGAGGAAAAACTTTTTTCACTAGCATAAAAGCATGACATTTTGGGAAGAATCTTAGATAAAAAAAAAGTTAAAAATGTATAATACAGTATTTAAATATTTCTGAAGCTCCTCATGAAAGGCTATGATGATTTTTTCTGAATAACTGCTCTCTGAGATAAAATTCTACTATCTCAATAGAAACAATGTATGTGTGTAGTGAGGCAAGGCAATATTATCATACCAGCACCACAAGAAATCTTTTAAACTATCCTGTGGTGTTTCTATGGTACTATACTATAAATGAATGGCAGAGCACTGGAGAATAAAATCCAGCTTAAGGAACTTCTAAATGACATGAATCACAAACACTCAAAGCCTTTCAAGCTCTCTTTGGTACTAAAATGGACTACTAAGGAGTCCTTGAGCTAACAATCTGTTGTTCTACACAGCCATCATTATCCATTCTTCACTGACCTTATGCTCAAGATACTGAACATCAACAGGTGGTTTGGTGAATGAGTTGCAACTGTTAATTTGGGTTTGGCTTGTTACTGTGTTTTTTGGGGGTCTACATTCAAATCTTTTCTTCCTGATAAAAAATACTACAAGTAAATTTTGTAGGAGGCATGTTCTGATTAAGGCATTATTTATGGACCTGGTGGTACATCATTAAAACATTACCACCATACAGCATTAAAGATTTTAAACAAGCCATTGACTTCTTGTCTGAGTATTTTTCGATCTTCATATTATGGGACCTCTCATACCAATGTATACATATTTCAGATGATTCGCATAGTGATTAAACAGTCAACAAGAGGTTATATGTCTGTGCACATTTTCAGAAATATATATCCTGTAAAGCTTTTTTGTTTCAAGATCAGAGCCTGAGGGTTCTGGAGGGCCAATTATACCTCTGCTGCTCAATACCTGCTTCAAGCAAAGGCTTCAAGCTCAACAAGTCACAATATAGGACATAAAACAGCAGACGCTTTTTCACCCATGGGGTTATAAACTCATGGAACTGCCAACCCACTGAAGCTCTAAATGCTGAAACACTGCTTCAATTCAATATCCAGCTGCATGAAATCATCTGGATAAATGGGTAAGGGGGGGTCCTTTGATAAGCCACCAGCTTCCTGTCCTCGTTGAAGCAACTAGTGAGATAGTGGCCTTCAGGTAAATTAAGGTAAACAATTGCCTCCCTGTCATCAGTGTTGTTCCTGGCAGACTGTCCTCTCGCCAGCTGTTACTTTCATGAGTGCCTGTGGGTGCCAGCACTTTGGATTGCCAGTATCTTGAATTACTTTTTTCTGCAACCACTCTGAGACACAGGCAAGTGTTATTTTCTTTTTTCACAGTTTGGTCAGTTAGTTTTTTCTGTGTGCATTCCTTATCTCGGTAAGAAGCTGAGTGAGATAACTCAGAAAAAAAAGTCACATGAAAAGTCTTCCTTTTCTTTCTGAAAAGAGTCCTGAACTCTTTTTCTGAGCAAGAATATCATTGCAGCAGACAATCTGTGAGGCTGCTTTCCTGGGAAACTATGTTGTAGACATAGTGATGCCACCTGGAGACAACCAGTTGGCTGAGCAGGTCAACTGTTTGTTAGTTAGAATGCTACTTGGCAGTCTTTAAATTTATTTGAATCATGCTGTTTAAAAGTTAGTCAAGCTGGATGGCATTTTCCAATGCACCCTAATACTATTATGACCCTACAGGGAGAGCTTAAAAAGTTGCCTGTAGCAATGGTACCAAAATGCTACCTTGCTTGACTGCATGTTACAGCTCACAATGGCAGAGTTGTAACTTGCCTTACTGACCAACTGAGTGACTCAGAAAGACATTCTACATATAAACTCCTGTAAATAATGTTGAAGATATTTTAAGCCATACTTATGATGACATAAATAAATGACATGAAAACACACAAGTAAAAGGTATTTATCATTTGGCAAGGGAAATTTATTATTATACAATTCAAAACTACTATTCTATTGTATTATATTTAATTTTATTGCTAAGCAGGCCAACACTGCACTAATAAAATGAATTACAAAAAAAGCAACAACACAAACTAATTGCAGAGCTTTGCATCTGTTTTAGAATAAAGTTCACTAACCAACTGGCATTTACAACTTTGTTTATCCTTTTCTCCTTTAAGGGCACATGGTTTCAACACCATTCACCCTTCTGTCTTCACAGGACACATGCAAATAACTATTCACCCTTTTGTTTTCATGGGACACTCAGTTACAATAATAAGAAGTATCAATTAAACACTAAGGATTCTTAAAAGGATGACAGTTTTGTTATTGGAGGAAAAGTATTCATGATGGTGTGTACTTTAATTTCCAATATTTAAGTCAAATTTAAAAGCAAATATAAAAACTATAGCATGTGCAATACACTTTTCCAAACATAATATTATATGCATAATAACACCATATCACTTTTATAAGATCTTGGTCAAACTTACAAGAAAATAGTTACTTAGTCTATAGAAATTCAAAAGACAGAAACTAAAATTAAAACTGTTGCCACAAGAAAAGACCACCACATTTCTACCATGCATCACAGGCAACTGTTGAGAAGGTCATTTACCCGTGTCCTTTCGTTAAGCCGGCGATCAAAGCGTGGCGTTTGTCCTCCGATGAGAGCGAAGTAACACTCCTAGGAGCATGCATAACAATATTTGTTAGTGTAAAGTGTGTGACTGTTAATACTGTATTACTGTGTTATTAAATTGGAATCCTACACTTATTCTATATGAAAATTGTTAGGTGACCCAAAGTGACATGACCTAATTTGTTACATGACCTAAAAGTAAATACAGTACTCAGCATTTTAAATAAATAGTAATTATCTTAGACTGTTCCAAGTGACCCATGCAGAAGTTCCACAACCATTCGTTGCTACCTTCTAGTATATCAACTGATCCATGCAAGAATATTACAAAAAACATTTGTCCTTATATGAGCTATCAACAAAGCTCCACCACCTGCATCCTCACTACAAACAAAGGCAAAGTAGCCATAAAAAGTCTTGAAATGTAGAATAGAAAAAACAAAAAGTAAGCAAAAGTCCTGCTGTCGATCAAGGGCAGGGATGAGCATCAGAGAAAGGTTAACAAGATTGGAGGGATGAGAACCAAGGTTGAAATGGCCCCTTTTAACTGAATTTACCGGATGGTCACCACCTCTAGTGGTCTTTATAAGGACAAGAAGCTGGCAGTTTGTTAAAGGTCCCCCATTATTCTCAAGGATTTTTTCCAGCTTAAGTTTAACGTGAAGGAACAGGAAGTCAACTCTAAGGTCTTTATTACTCTTTGGGTGAAAAAAACCCAGCGTTGAATGTAATGAAACGCCATTTTCTGGGTGAGCCCCAGAGGCTCCCTGGAGCTTATCGGGCTAATGTACAGTATGTTATATTAGACCGGGACATTAGCTAAGGAGTTCAGACCTACCAGGGACCAGTGCCAGAACCTGGTCCCTTCAGAGAGGTTTCAGGGAGCAATGGCCCTGGAAAACCCCTTTGTGGTTGGGATTTTCCTTATCTGCCATCGACCGGGGTTAGGCACCCAGAAAGGTAACCATAACAAAACAAACCCCACATGGTAAAAAACTAAAACATAAAACTGAATAGAGAGGCAGAAACTCCCTACAATCCCATGGAAACAAGCAAACAAGCAAACATCACACTTTACTGCCGTGCCAATCGTCCACGCAGCCCTCCCCACCCTAAGAAGGGGAGGAGGGAGCCCCAGATCTCACCACCCCGGCTGCCTAGCATCAGTTCGGAAGCTAAGCTTCAAACAACGCAAAAAAACTGCCGACCGGTGGGAGGGAGGGTTGCCAGGGAGCCTCCAGGGCTCACCTAGAAAAAGGCGTTTCATTACGTTCAACGCTGGTTTTCTGTGGGGAGCCCTTACGGCTCCCTGGAGCTTCATACCCAAAGAGAAGGAAAAGAAAAGGCTGACCCGGGAGGCGGCCGCCACAAACTCCGCAACGCGAAGCCGAGACAACAGGCTGCAACCTGCAACCCAAGGCAACAAGAACGCATAGGAGCAGACACACACATAAAGAACGGGCAGCCAGGAACCTGTGCGACCCTCAAATCCTCGTGCCCGAAATGAGCCCTAGACGTCACCAACACAGCATAGAAAGCTGCAAACGTCTGAACAACACGGGCGCAAGGATAGACCGCAGGCTGGAAGACTTAAAAACTCTGCAGAGGACATGAGAGATCCGAGCCCTGAAACAGGGAATGAGGGGAACCAGATCAACCCAAAGCGCATCACCAGACATGGTACGCAGGTAACGGCAAAGAGGCGCAACCGGACAACACAGGACACACCCCCGGCCGAACCAATCAAGCATCAATAACCCAAGGACCCCTCCGGAAAACAGCCGTCTTGACCATCGCCAGAAGGATGAAGAAAGGCTGCAAACGTACAAACCTACCATCAGTACCAAAGAACAGAAACCTCTGCACTGGAAGATCCGGAAGCTCCCCGACCTGACCTGCAGAGGCCCATGCCAACAAAATATGGCCTATGAAAACCAAACTTGAACTGCAGGGGCTATCAAAACTGAGAAGATAAGAGGGGCACCCTGATCAAGGAGCAGGACGGCTCAGGCGGCGCATGAGCATGCTGGAGGTGAAACAAAACACGAGAAAGCGTACAGAACGGGGCAGATGTGACGTCCACCCCGGACGCAATCCGGAGCGGCTCTGCCAGCGCCGCACAAAACGAGGCGACAGTAAGAAACATCAAATAACTGTAGTCCTGAAAACCAAAGAAAGGACAAGACAACCTGATGCGAAAAAGAAGACAACCTACGCAGAGCAAGAAAAAGGTGCATAGAAACACCAGGAACATCATACTGTCGTCGCGACGAAGCTCACAGGTGGGACACCATCAACGAAGCCACCTGATCATCATAGAGACGGTGATACCCGCGTCAAAACACCAAATGCGAAAAGCCGAGGAGAAGGCCGAACCAGTCACGTACAGGACCAGTCCGACCTGCCGAAAGAGGCGAGCTGCAGGAAAACGCCCCGGGTTCGGACACCTATCAAGCAGCGCCTGAAAATAAAGCTGGGCCAGCCACCAAGGAACCATGAGGACTACTCCCCTTGGGAATGGAATCCAACCGAGCCAGACCCCGAAGCAACAGCAGGACCGGGAGAAGAGGAACAGGTACCCCCACCTCGACCAGTCCTGCCGAAAGGCATCAACCATGAACACCTCACAGGCGGGTAAGGGTGCCACATCGAATGGGCAACGCCTAGACCACACTGACGCAAAGATGTCCATGGCCAGGAGTCCACATGTCCAGCAGAGCCAACGAAACGGGTCGGCGACGACTGACCAATCCATGAACTGAGACAGGCTGTCCGCCAGGATGCAGGATACACCCCGGATATGAACCTCACGGTTAGCTAAACCCGGAGAATCCAGCAAAAGAGCCACTTGAAGGGAGCAACCCCAAATGTCAAACACCTAAGAGAAACCCTGTGGTTCCGGCAAAGAACCGCCAGAGAACAGTCCGAATGAAGCTGGATGGTTGAGCACCGAGTGACCAGAACCCTCCAAAGTGCAAACTAGACAGCCACGAACTCCCGAACCGTGCTGTGAGCCCGACGGATGGACAGACCCCACCATCCCCGGCTGACCTGGTAAGCACTCGTCACAAAGCCCAACTGAGAGATGACCTGTTCATGAACACATCGTGCGAAGGCTCGAGGAGGTGCCAAGGCAAGGAACCCCGAAAACCCCAAAGAGGAAGCTGGTGACGCAGCACCAACACAAGATCCCTGGAGGACGAACCCAAAGATTGCAAGAGGGGCGGAAAGGGAGTATCCGAAGGAACCAAACAGATGCCGAAGCCAAACCCGACCCTGCAGGCAGACCAGCACGTCGAAGTTCAGACTCCCGCACAACCGCTCGAGCAACCGCCGAGCAACCCGGAGCCCCCCTCATAAACAGCCAAAGGCAGGACCACAGCCGCAGCAACACTTCTGGAGGGAAAGACAAGGAGCGGTCCAAGAGCCCTAAACAAAACCCAGCCAGGTCCGAACCCGGGACGGAAACAGATGGAACAGCCTCCAGATCATCAGGAAACTGAATCCGGCGATCTGGAAAGAACCACACCCCTGGCAAGCAGACAAGTGGATCGACTAGGAGTCTACACCAGCCAGTCGTCGAGGTAGGCCAGACAACGAATCGCAGGCAGACTCAGACAGGGCACCAAGATCCGGTAAAGATGCGTAAATACACCAAGTGCCAATTACAAACTAGGGAAGGCAACAAAAGCGGCAAGCCTGAAGCCCCACTACCAACTGTGCCAGTTCCGGAAACCTGGAGAGGAACATGCCAAGAAGTGATCTGGAGGTCCAGAGCCACCATCCAGGCACCTGGCCTCAACAGAAACCGGACCAGAGACAACAGTCCTCCGATGAGGGCATAGAATCCAGGGCGCAGTCTGAACAAGTCCAGAATAACCGTAGATCTGCCAGACTCGTGTCTGCATAGAGCAGACAGGAACCCCTGAAAGGATGGGGCGGATCGACCACGTCCAACGCACCCACTAAGATGACACGATGAAAGAAAAAGTATATATATAAATACACACACACTAAGGTGTATGCACATGCACCTACACATATGTGCACACACACACACAGTCAGTACTGGATCCATCAGTACAGCAGATCCATCAGTACGGGATCTAGTATTCACCAGGAAAGAAGAGGAGGTATTTGACATCCAGTACCTTCCTCCCTTGGGAAAGAGTGATCATGTCCTCTTGGACATTAAATACGCTATGCGATATAATCTAGTAGAGAATGGGGACAGTGAAACAGTTGTTAAACTCGATTTCAAGAGAGGACGCTATGGGGAACTTAGAAATTTTTTTCTTGGGTATAATTGGACAGACTAGTTGCTAGGCAAGGAAGTAAATGAGATGTACGCCAAATTTTGCACAATATATGATGAAGGCACACAAACATTCATACCAAAACAGACATGCAGACCTGGGAAACAGGGTTGGTTCAACAGAAATTGAGAGAGGGCCAGAGATCAAAAGACAAAAGCATGGAATCATTATAGAAAGAGGCCATAGCCCCAAACATACCAGCGATTCATTATTCGCTGGTAAATTCATTAAAAGTAAGCTGCAGGTAAAGGATAATATTCAGAGGTTAAAAATGGGGGACAGATACACGGAAAATGAAAGGGAAATATGTGAAACATTAAACAAAAAGTTCCAAAGTGTCTTTGTACAAAATGAGATCTTCAGAGAACCAGACACAATAAGAATTCCACAGAACAACATAGAGCATTTAGAGGTGTCTAGAGACGAAGTGGAAAATATGCTAAAGGAGCTAAGTAAGAATAAAGCAGTTGGCCCAGATGGAGTTTCACCATGGGTTCTGAGAGAATGTGCATCTGAGCTCAGCATTCCACTTTACCTGATCTTTCAGGCATCCCTGTGTACAGGAGTCGTAACAGACGTGTGAAAACAGGCTAACATAGTTCCAATCTACAAAAGTGGAAGCAGGGAAGAACCCCTCAATTATAGACCTGTAACATTGACTAGTGTAATAGTGAAAGTATTGGAAAAACTAATCGAAACTAAATGGGTAGAACACCTAGAGAGAAATGATATAATATCAGACAGACAGTATGGTTTTCGATCTGGAAGATCGTGTGTATCGAATTTACTCAGTTTCTATGATCGAGCCACAGAGATTTTACAGGAAAGAATTGGTTGGGTTGACTGCATCTATTTGGACCTAAAAAAGGCTTTCAACAGAGTTCCACATAAGAGGTTGTTCTGGAAACTGGAAAATATTGGAGGGGTGACAGGTAAGCTTCTAACATGGATGAAAAATTTCCTGACTGATAGAAAAATGAGGGCAGTAATCAGAGGCAATGTATCGGACTGGAGAAATGTCACAAGTGGGGTACCACAGGGTTCAGTTCTTGCACCAGTGATGTTTATTGTCTACATAAATGATCTACCAGTTGGTATACAAAATTATATAAACATGTTTGCTGATGATGCTAAGATAATAGGAAGGATAAGAAACTTAGATGATTGTCATGCCCCTCAAGATGACCTGGACAAAATAAGTATATGGAGCACCACTTGGCAAATGGAATTTAATGTTAATAAATGTCATGTTATGGAATGTGGAATAGGAGATCATAGACCTCACGCAACCTATATATTATGTGAGAAATCTTTAAAGAATTCTGATAAAGAAAGAGATCTAGGAGTGGTTCTAGATAGAAAACTATCACCTGAGGACCACATAAAGAACGTTGTGCGAGGAGCCTATGCCACATTTTCTAACTTCAGAATTGCTTTTAAATACATGGATGGTGATTAACTAAGGAAATTGTTCACGACTTTTGTTAGGCCAAAGCTAGAATGTGCAGCGGTTGTGTGGTGCCCATATCTTAGGAAGCACATCAACAAACTGGAAAAGGTGCAAAGATATGCTACTAAGTGGCTCCCAGAACAGAAGGGCAAGAGCTATGAGGAGAGGTTAGAGGCATTAAATATGCCAAAACTAGAAGACAGAAGAAATAAAAGAGGTGATATGATCACTACGTACAAAATAGTAACAGGAATTGATAAAATCGATAGGGAAGATTTCCTGAGACCTGGAACTTCAAGACCAAGAGGTCATAGATTTAAACTAGCTAAACACAGATGCCGAAGAAATATAAGAAAATTCACTTTCACAGAGTGGTAGACGGTTGGAATAAGTTAGGTGAGAAGTTAGTGGAGGCCAAGACCGTCAGTAGTTTCAAAGCGTTATATGACAAAGAGTGTTGGGAAGACCATGAGCGTAGCTCTCATCCTGTAACTACACTTAGATAATTACATTTTACTGATTTTGTGTTCTCATGGGTAACAAAATTTTGCTGACTTTAGGCTTTGCTGTGGGGAGTCATGCTTGACTTTTGGACCTTATATGCATATACATCTTTAGGGAATTCTATTGTAAATACAATGATACCAAAACGAATGATGTAGCAAGAGAATTAAGGTGAGTAAACTGAAACAAGTATACACATTTAGTGTCGCCGAGCGCTCGCCCGCATTGCCAGGGGCATGACGTCAAAGTTTACGGCGTGCACGCCCTGGGCGCTAAGGTGTTAACTCATGTAATTGATGTGACTCGTAGACTGGAGCAATCTCTGAAAGTTAGCTACAGGAAGCCACCAAGGGACTCCCCTAGAAGGAAATAACACCAAAATGGAACCTAGTGTCAATTCACTAACCACATCTGTTTCAGTCAGATTTATTTCTATTTATTTTGCTTACTTGGTTTTAATCATTGTTTTATCTATTCAAATATTATTTAATTATTCAAAGTGCTTGTAATTTCTGTGCCAGTTTTGCATGAAGCACCTTATCAAAAGCTTCAGAGAAGCCCATGTACAATTCATAGTACTGTACATCTAATGGACGTTCTTTGTCTGAGTAGCTGGCTACAATTTATAAAAATGTGAGCAAGTTAATTAAGCAGGATATATTTGCTTATAACCATGTTTTGTTGATTTTACAAGATTATGCACTGCAAGATAGTTAATGATTCCCTCCCTTTATTTAATCCTTAAATTGCACATCACATCATATGATGCTTTGACCGACTTGCAGTAAATTGTGCATGGCATCATATGATGCTTTGGAGTACTACGCAAGATTTAAATGGCCCGCTGATACACCGGGTTCACCACATCTTCATCAGGGCTCTTGTAAACAGACGCCATTTGTTTTTAAATCGTGGTCCAAATTCCCAGGTGTTAGGGGCCTCAGTATTGAGTGAGCTACCTAGCCTGACGCACGCAGCATGAGCTCACAGCACTGCTTTTCAGCTTGTGACCACAGCATCGCCTAAAAAAGCCATAATATACGTGTTCATGCTATTATGTAGCGATGATATTATTACAGAAGACCCCTGACTGTGATAAAACTCACCAGGGTTCTGATAATAGCAGGATTGTGGTGATATTTAGTACTGTGCTCCATGGAGAGAGGAGTAATGCTGTGGGAGGGAGGGTAGTGGCATTGTCTTCTTACTGTGTGTGGCCACCTTTTATAGACTGCACTCACCATACCAGCTTAGTGGTTCGCTATGGTGAACAAAAATGTAGATACTTATATATAACGTGTGTATAGAGGGTATAAACAGCAAGAGGAGTAGGTTGGGAGCTGCCATTTTGGTGAGGGAGGTGGCGTCGTTTGCACGACTTATCATGTTGTTTACTGGTGACCACTATGGTCTTTGGGCACCATACCAGTTTACTTGTATAAGTATGGTGAATAAATCAGGTAGATACTTATATATAATGTGTATATAGTGTAATAACACCACAAACAGTATTGTTGGAGGAGAAATATTAGTGCGCCTGGCCTAGAGGGCGGCAGCCACTGGCTGATTGTGTGAGTAGCTACGTCTTTGTGCCTTTACTCACCATACAAACTTAGATGTACAGTTATGGTGAACAAAACATGTAAATACTTATACATAACGTCTGTATATAAAAGCAAAAACAGTATGGTGGGAGGAGAATGGTGGCAAGTCAGGTGAGGTGAGGGAGGGAGGGAGTGGCAGCCAGTGGCGGGCTGCCACTGCCACTCAGCATACCAACTTAGTGGTTCGTTATGGTGAACACGAATGTAGATACTTATATATAGCGTATGTATATAGTGAATAAAAGCAAAAACAGTATTGTGGGAGGAGAATGTGGATGAGTCAGGTGACTTGAGGGAGGGAGGAAGTAGCAGCCAGTGGCAGGCTGCCACTGGCTGCCACTGCCACTGCCACTCAGCATGCCAACTTAGTGGTTCATTATGGTGAACACAAATGTAGATACTTATATATAACGTCTGTATATAGTGAATAAAAGCAAAAACAGTATGGTAGTAGGAGAATGTGGGTGAGTGAGGTATTGAGGGAGGGATTGAGTGGCTGGCTGTTGTGTGGCAGTCACTCCTCATTACTTTTTGACTCATAATAGCAACTTAGTGGTTCGTTATAGTGAACAATACATGCAGATACTTATATATAACCTGTGTATATAGTGTAATAACCGACAAAGTATTTGTTCACTGTTTGATGAACATAATTGAATCAACAATATGCATACCATATTTTTGAGTACAGCGATGATAAACTCATTTTATTATATAAATATATCACACTACACACTATTGAATAATATTACAGCAAAAAAACTACAAAAAATCAATCAGAGACATTGAAATAATTAGGTAATTATCTCTTTGTGGCAACTCTGGCCTGACAGCTGGCGAGCAACAGACCGCCTGGGACACGCGCTGAGTCAGCGCCTGTTTTTTGCCAGACTTCCCCGCCCTATAGCGGGCAATATATGCCACTTGCAATTTTTTTATTATTTTTCCCATGATCAGTGAACACAAATTAAGAGGTTTAGAAGAAAAATAATTTTTAATTTTTTTTTGGTATGCGCCTGTGAGTGACACATGCTAAATAGCCAGGCGTCATACAAGGGTTAATCATGCAATCAAATATGAATTATATATATATTTATCAATCAATAACTCATCTGCAGATAAATACTTGACTGACCTTTGCAACATCTGACAAATTATCAACCTTGAGTCGTGTTGGCTGTGGAGTAGGGGGAGTGGTGGAGGCGGCACCTGCATTACCACTGCTAGCAACCCATGGTGGCAAGATAGCCATAATGGTCTCTAGCTGTGCACCTAAGGCAGTGTGGGCAGCCAACAGCAGTGTGCAGATGGTGCGGTGGGTTGCTCGTGCCTGTGCCAGACGCCACGAAGCACTGCTGCTGCCCCCGCCACCCCCACACTTGATTGTATTATTCTGTTGATAAAATATGGGCACCCCTGAGACAGGTTCTGATCATGGTATATACATTACATTTATATTTTATGTTTTATACCAATATAATAACTCACTTTCATGTTTATGTATTGTAAATTTTAGTAATATAAATATGTATACTGTACATATATAATATACACACTGACATTTAACTGAAATTATTAGAGGGCCACCATCTCTTTACTTGCCTTGATGGGAACAGGAAGTCAGTGGCTTGTCAAAGGTTTCCCCCCCATTTTTCATGAGAATTTTGCCCTACTGCTTTTTCGAAGAGTAAATATATGGTTGCAGGAACTTGTTTGGCAGTTTTGAGGCTTCGGTTCTTTTAAACCCAGCAGTAGTCGGTATTAGTTTGGTGACTTTCTGGATTCTTTCTGGAGAGATGGTGATGTCAAAGAGATACCTGTTCTCTATGCCTGGAGTTATAAACCTATGGAACCGACTAGCCACCAAAGCTGTAAATGCCAAAACTGTAACCATATATTTACAGTTTTGGCATTTACAGCTTCAGTGGGTAGGCAGTTTCATAGGTTAATAACTCCAGGCATAAATAGCAGGTAACTGTCTGAAACCCTCATCCATCCAGAAAGGATCCACAAAGTCAGGAAACTAATACAGACCACTGCTGGGTTCAAAAGAATCGAAGCCTCATGTAAGAGAGAGACCCTTGTGTAGGGAGAAATAGCATGTTAAATGTTGAAAAACAGTTATGTAGGAGAGAGACCCTTGTGTAGGGAGAAATAGCAGTGTTAAATGTTGAAAAACAGTCTGGAACTCTGACCCCTTTCAGATGCACAGCGCATCATCTCAACAGGAAAATGTAATCTCCTAAAAGCCAATGAAAACAAAAGGGATAAAATGGTTAAAAAAAAGCAGATTCAATGCAAGAAAATATAGAGAAACAACAGTGTTAAATGTAGAAAAACAGCCTGGAACATTATATGACATAAATGAAGTATTGGGAAATGTGTATGATATGTATAGGGATGAGACATTATTGGAACCGGTCAGGCAGGGACATGTGCAAGCCCCTATCGGTCACTTAGGAGAGAGAGGCAGTGAGAACAAGACCAGTGTCTTGGATGGACTCTAACAAACACGATAAGTGCAGTATTATAGATGTTTATAGCGGTGCTTCCCTTTTTTTATGAGTTAGAGATAGGAATTTGTAGAAATAAGGATTTTAGAACCCTGTGTAATTACCTAAGTGTAATTACCTAAGTGTAGTTACAGGATGAGAGCTACGCTCGTGGTGTCCCGTCTTCCCAGCATTCTTTGTCATATAGCGCTTTGAAACTACTGACGGTCTTGGCCTCCACCACCTTCTCACTTAACTTGTTCCAACCGTCTACCACTCTATTTGCGAAGGTGAATTTTCTTATATTTCTTCGGCATCTGTGTTTAGCTAGTTTAAATCTATGACCTCTTGTTCTTGAAGTGCCAGGTCTCAGGAAGTCTTCCCTGTCGATTTTATCAATTCCTGTTACTATTTTGTACGTAGTGATCATATCACCTCTTTTTCTTCTGTCTTCTAGTTTTGGCATATTTAATGCTTCTAACCTCTCCTCGTAGCTCTTGCCCTTCAGTTCTGGGAGCCACTTAGTAGCATGTCTTTGCACCTTTTCCAGTTTGTTGATGTGCTTCTTAAGATATGGGCACCACACAACAGCTGCATATTCTAGCTTTGGCCTAACAAAAGTCATGAACAATTTCTTTAGTATATCGCCATCCATGTATTTAAATGCAATTCTAAAGTTAGAAAGCATTGCATAGGCTCCTTGCACAATATTCTTTATGTGGTCCTCAGGTGATAGTTTTCTATCTAGAACCACTCCTAGATCTCTTTCTTTATCAGAATTCTTTAAAGATTTCTCACATAATATATAGGTTGTGTGGGGTCTATGTTCTCCTATTCCACATTCCATAACATGACATTTATTAACATTAAATTCCATTTGCCAAGTGGTGCTCCATATACTTATTTTGTCCAGGTCTTCTTGAAGGGCATGACAGTCATCTAAATTTCTTATCCTTCCTATTATCTTAGCATCATCAGCAAACATGTTCATATAATTCTGTATACCAACTGGTAGATCATTTATGTAGACAATAAACATCACTGGTGCAAGAACTGAACCCTGTGGTACTCCACTTGTGACATTTCTCCATTCCGATACATTGCCTCTGATTACTGCCCTCATTTTTCTATCAGTCAGAAAATTTATCATCCATGTTAGAAGCTTACCTGTCACCCCTCCAATATTTTCCAGTTTCCAGAACAACCTCTTATGTGGAACTCTGTCGAAAGCCTTTTTTAGGTCCAGATAGATGCAGCCAACCCAACCATCTCTTTCCTGTAATATCTCTGTGGCTCGATCATAGAAACTGAGTAAATTCGATACACAGGATCTTCCAGATCGAAAACCATACTGTCTGTCTGATATTTATCATTTCTCTCCAGGTGTTCTACCCATTTAGTTTTGATTAGTTTTTCCAATACTTTCACTATTACACTTGTCAATGATACAGGTCTATAATTGAGGGGGTCTTCCCTGCTGCCATTTTTGTAGATTGGAACTATGTTAGCCTGTTTCCACACGTCTGCTACGATTCCTGTACACAGGGATGCCTGAAAGATCAGGTGAATTGGAATGCTGAGCTCAGATGCACATTCTCTCAGAACCCATGGTGAAACTCCATCTGGGCCAGCTGCTTTGTTCTTACTGAGCTCCTTGAGCATATTTTCTACTTCATCTCTAGACACCTCTATCCGCTCTATGTTGTGCTCTGGAATTCTTATTGTGTCTGGCTCTCTGAAGATTTCATTTTGTACAAACACACTTTGGAACTTTTCATTTAATGTTTCACACATTTCCTTTTCATTTTCCGTGAATCTGTTTCCCATTTTCAACCTCTGGATATTATCCTTTACCTGCAATTTGTTGTTTATGAATTTGTAGAATAGGCCCGGTTCTGTTTTACATTTATCCGCTATCCCCTTTTCAAAATTTCTTTCTGCCTCTCTCCTTACTGCCGTATAGTTGTTTCTCGCATCTTTGTATCGCTGGTATGTTTGAGGGTTTGACCTCTTCCTATACTGATTCCATTTTTGTGTCTTTTGGTCTCTTGCCCTCTCACAATTTCTGTCGAACCAATCCTGTTTTCTGGCCCTGCACCTCTGTTTTGGTGTGAATGTTTGTGTGCCTTCCTCGTATATTTTTAAAAATTTGGCATACATTTCATTTACTTCCCTGCCTAGCAACAATTCTGTCCAATTACACTCATTAAAAAAATTTTGAAGTTCCCCATAGTGTCCTCTCCTTAAATCGAGTTTATCAACTGTTTCAATGTCCCCATTTTCTTCTAGATGATATCTTAAAGCATAATCAATGTCTAACAGGACGTGATCACTCTTTCCCAAGGGAGGAAGGTACTGGATGTCAAATATCTCTTCTTCTTTCCTGGTGAATACTAGATCCAGTACTGACGGTACATCTCCTTCCCTCATTCTTATGGCCTGCTTTATGTGTTGATACAAGAATGTCTCCAGAATGAGGTTCACAAATCTGCATGTCCAAAAGTCCTCTGTTCTTGCTTCATAGGCCTCCCAGTCTATTGCTTTAAAGTTGAAGTCCCCCAGTATCAACAGTCGTGATTTATCTTTATCTGCTTGTGCAATAATATCACTCATGACCATTATGAGGTCCTCTCGTTTGTCATCTAGTTCTTCCTTTGTCCATGTGTTGCTTGCTGGTGGGCTGTAGGCATTTAAAATTATCAGCTGTAGTGTAGGGAGTGTGTAGTGTGTAGGGAGAGTGGTGTGTTGTTAATTCAAGTGTATGTACTCAGCTGTGTGTCACATGGGATTATCCACATTTACTTTGTACATTGCTTTGTGTATTGTGGTCAGAACAGTGTATTGTTAAAACCCATCCCTTTGTAGTTACCCAAGAGGAGTGGAATAGAGTAATGACCTTAAATCCCAGTTGGTAGAGGCCTAAACCGTTGTGTGTGGTCCCTTGTGCCAGTGGTTTCCTGAGGTGTGTGTGTTGGTGGGAAGGGACCCCCCCCCCCTTTGTATCAATCCTGTGGTGGATCCAAGTACCCCCCCCCCCCCTGTTCTAATTAGTGTGAGGAAATCTGATATTTGTTAAATAAAAACCCTTTTGTAAAATTGTACCCCAAATTGTACCATTGTCCCATGTAGTTAGAACTGGTTCTACTAGAACTAGGTTCTACTAGAACTAGAATCTTACTCCTGTTTGGCCTTGGGTAGGAGGTAGTATCATCGCTGGCTGGGGCACGAGATACTGTGCAGTTGTCTGATATATGCATAGCGGCCGGTTCTGTTCCCCTGGAGACATTGTGCTTTTGTGGTGATTATTACTATATAGACCCCTGCACTCCCATTATTTATAAGAAAGTAAGAGTGGGTGTTGTTAGCGATACTCTAGGGTACGGCTTTCAATCTTGTACCTTACATTCAAAATTGCCAAATGAGCTCCCTAAATCGTATAATCAAACAACTAAATCTATTAAAACTAGCTCAAGCTCATTAACCCAGATGGAGTTTCACCTTGGGTTCTGAGAGAATGGGCACCTGAGCTAAACATTCCACTTCAATTGATTTTTTAGTCATCTCTATGTAAAGGAGTCCTGGTAGACATATATATGGAAAAAGTCTAATATAGTTCCAATTTATAAAGGCAGCAACATGGAAGACCTTCTAGTATAGGCTTGTATCGTTGACAAGTGTAGTAGTCAAAACATTAGAAAAAATAATTAAAACTAAATGGTAGAACACCCGGAGAAAAACAATATAAGAACAGACAAACAATATGGTTTTCGAACTGGAAGATCATGTATAACGAATTTACTCAGTTTTTCTGTGGAAAGCCCCCTTCAGCTCCCCGGAGCTATACCGGGCTGATGTGCATATACTAGATCGTGACAACAGTCAATTGATGGAGTTCTAGGCC